TCATGGTACAAGCGTACTAGTGTAGGAGGACACCATCATGGTACAAGGGTACTAGTGTAGGAGGGTACCATGATGGTACAGGGGTACTAGTGTAGGAGGGTACCATGATGGTACAAGGGTACTAGTGTAGGAGGGTACCATGATGGTACAAGGGTACTAGTGTAGGACGGTACCATGATGGTACAAGGGTACTAGTGTAGGAGGGTACCATCATGGTACAAGCCTACTAGTGTAGGAGGGTACCATCATGGTACAAGGGTACTAGTGTAGGAGGGTACCATCATGGTACAGGGGTACTAGTTAACAAGGGGTTCACTCACACTCACTGATAACATAAATTTGTAAACATGTAATATCAAAAGCTTGGCTCTTGATAAAAGGGATTTCAGCCTCCATCTCCTTCCTCGGATCAGACTTGAAATGCCAATGGGTTTAGCTTTTCCTCAGAAATATAATAATTTAATAATCTATCAGTGAGAAGAGAAGCGACGCAAGTTGTTGTTTGTTACCAGATTACTTACTGTGTATCTCTCTTGTGTACAACTCACAAAATAATTTTTGTCCATTGTTATATTGCAAAGAAATGTTTGATAACGTAAGATAAAGAGGAAGAAAAAATAATTTATTTAATACTTAGTTATGTTTTCGTGTGACTTAACAATCTCAGGTTGTTACGTGTTGAAATGGGAAGTTGTTTATTGCAGTTCGTTAAGTTCATGTCTTGAACCTTTATTATTTTTTTGATCTCCTCGGTCAAGCTTGGCATTGATATGTTTTTGAGTAAGTAAGTAAGTAAGTAAGTAAGTAAGTAAGTAAGTAAGTAAGTAAGTTTATTCAGGTATACACAAACACAGTTACATAGAATTATCATACATAGCAGCATATGTGTAGAGAACCTGGGATAACACAAAAAAGTGTTTTTGCTGTGGTTTTATTATGGGATTCGGGTCAGGATTGTTTTCTATCCACTGGATCACATTGTTTTTGTTCTCTCGAAACATTTCTTGAACTGTTTTGACGTGTAAGTGGAAGTTTTGTCACAGTGGTTTACATAGTGTGACAGTGCATGTGAATCACGCTGCCCAGGTAGTTTACATTGTGTATGCAACCACCCCCCCCCCCACTCTTCATAGACCTAAACTTACTCCCTGTTCAGTACATCCACACTTACTACTGTGCAATCTACATCTACAGGGCCTTAAACACTAATATCAACCTTGACCTAAAACGCTTTCTTGATAGTTGTGACAGAACCCACAGGCATAACACCAGACACAAACATCTCTACGACATTCCCCGTGTCCGACTAAACCTTTACAAAAATTCAATGTATGTCAAAGGCCCTAAAATCTGGAATACCCTACCTGAGAACTCTAGAACTGCAGACACATTCATCACCTTCAAAACTACCATTAGAAAACATCTTATCTCCCTGATACACCCCGTCAACTAACTACACGAATACCACCTGGTGGTTCACACTTACACTCACTCACCCATTTGACCATAAACAGAAATATTAATCTCAATCTTAAAATAATGAATCCTATGATACTCCAATACTGAAACTATATACTGTGCCAAAACAAAAGCATTCACATTGCTAAACTCACAAACTAGTATTTAGTCACTTAGCCATAATACCAACTTACCTCATAATTTGTAATATTTTACAATTAAGAATAAAACTAAGTATGCCCGAAATGCTTAGCCATGCTAAGCGTTCTAGTGGTACACTCTGTAATCACTATTTAACTACATGTAAACCACACAATAACCAAATTTCTGTAAAATCAACATTGTAATCCTTATAGAGAATAAACTTTGAATTTGAATTTGAATGTAGAGCGAGGTTGACCCCCGAAACTCTCTCCAGGTAAACTCCAGGTAAGTTTCAGTGTACCAAAAAATTCTTTTTCATTTCCTGTTGAACTATTGTATTCTTGTTCATTTCCTGTTGAACTATTGTATTCTTGTTCATTTCCTGTTGAACTATTGTATTCTTGTTCATTTCCTGTTGAGCTATTGTATTCTTGTTCATTTCCTGATGAACTATTGTATTTCAAGTTGAATATTTTTTTGACGATAACACCTTAATATGAAGGAGTGAAATGCCAGGCGATCTTGTGTTTAATGAGCAAGATTCATCAGGATTTACTGCAAAATGTTCCTTCCTATCAACAACTACGTTAATATAGACAGACTGGTTATAAATGACCATAATTTTTAAAGGGGTGGACCGGTAAGCCAGCGGAAGGCCTCGGTCAGATGACCAAAAGCTCCAAAGGCGGGTCATCATCTGACTAAGACCCGCGTCAGGAAACATTTGTCCTGTTTCCTGACGAACCTTACCTAACCTAACCTAACAACTACGTAAATATCACAACTCTCCATCAACCTACCCGCCTGCTGCTCTTGCTGCTGGGAAACATGTCAGCTGCTGCTTCCTTTCATTAACTGTGTGTGTTCTAGCTGATAATGCTCACCTCCAGCACGAGTCGCGCTAAACCTGCTAAACCTGGTTCTCACACACTGCACCCTCATGTACCTTCTCTGTTGTATGTCTCGCAGACATGCCTTAGTCTTCTATCAACGAATACCCCTGTCTACCTTGCTCATGGGAGGCATCTTAGCTACTGCTGATGTTGAGATCTGGTGATTCTCTACTGCCTGAAAAATTAAAGACAGATGAAAGGTCGCCTGATCCAAGAACAACTGTCTTGGACACCAAAAAGTTTCTGACTTCTTGGATCAGGTGACCTTCCATGCCAGAGCCTTATAAGTGTCCAAGACAGATGGAATGTCACCTGATCCAAGAACTCTCTTGGACACCTACAAGGTTCTGACATGAAAGGTCATCTGATTCAAGAATTGCTGTCATGGACACTTATTACGTTAAAACGAAGATACTTAAAGGTGAGCTTGACATGGGAAAGCTCTTCTTTTAGCGAAACTTTAATTATGGCTTAATATGTTGAGCTTGAAAAACCCCATTTGTTATTTTGTCTGTTAAACCTCTACGCAAAATATCTGAGAGTATCAACAAGATCTTCCATCTAACAGAAAATTATTTTCACGAGAAAGGCTACGTACGCAAGGATCATACAACGCCTGGGAAAATAGGCAGTCAGGACCGATCAGAGGAATAGGAGGGTAGTTCAATTCCTGTGATCAGGAGTCCTTCACAATTATCAAGGCAGACATCCACCATGATGGGTTGCCACTGGGTAGGTCTGTACCTCAGGATGGTGTGTGACACCGCCGGATGGGGGCCGGGTCCTGGAGTGACGCATCTTGTGGGGGCCCCATATTCAGTGGGAATTTTTTTTATAAACCAAACGTTATTTTCACGTAACCCACCACATCCATGATACCGAGAAAGATAAAAGTCTAATAGTAAAAGACAAGTTTTGTAATAAAGATTATATTTTCTTCACTGTTTCAAAAATAATGATGCAATAAAACAGTAACATACTCTGAATCATTAGCCTTTTTCAATAAACATTGAATAATTCACATTAACAAAGCAAACTTACGTACTTTTTGACTGATAAATGATTCAGCTATTGTTCGGAAGTCCAGTTCACAAAGAATATTACTTTCAATACTCATTATTGCCAGCCAGGAGAGACGATTTTGACTCATTGTTGTTCTTAGTCTGTTCTTGATTATTTTCAACTTGGAAGATGTTCGATCATCATTATAATTTGACACATTAAATACTAGGTAAATCCTCAACATGATCTCAGTATTGCGTAAAGCTGCCTTTAAATCACTTTCAAGCAAAATTTTGTGAAAGTAGAGTTCTTTAGGGTGACTGTCATTGTAGTCTTGCATGTTAAGTTTTACAAAGACAACAAAATGTAATAGTTCATCTTTAAGACTGGGTTCTTGGTCCGTGTTGTAGATATTGACAAGATTAGCTGCAGCTTTACTGAGTTCGGTGGTATTCATATCTTCTAGATGACTGAGGAATCCAAAACGCTCGCATACAGTATCGTAAGCAGCTATCCTGTCACTTAGAGATTCAATAAATTAGTCAACAGCTGGAATGAAGCATTGTGTACAGAACTTTGACTTGGGAGGCATCTGGGTATCTTCTGTTTTACCATAATCCAATGTGTTAAGACGAACATATCTCACACGATGACGAACTTCTATTTACTCTTTTGTTCCAGACTGTCTGATTCATATTCAGCCTCTTCATATTCATCGAATGTCTCTCTGCGTCAATAAATGTTTTCTAAGACTTAAGTGCTTTTATTGCAGTACTGAGAACCATTTTCGGACTTGTAGAACGTGATTTGTTGCTCTGAATCTTTCCAAAATTCCATTCCAGAATGAAGCATAAACTGCCGTTTCTAATTTACCCATATTCTCATAGAGATTACTAGCTTCACGTTGGACCACAGCCTTGTTTTCCTCATCGGTCAAGATGTCATTAAGAGCCTCTCTTGCCTCGCTGTAACCTGCACAATGGCTTTTGTTGCATCAGCTCTGCGAGATCAACGAGTATCACATAGTTGTTTAGGCACGTACAGCTGTTTACCTGCTTGCTTTAATTTATCTATGAGAGTAGTACAGCGTGATGTAGATGCTGTGAAAAACACATACAGCTGCTGAACGAAATCAGAGTAATAAAGAGCTGCTGAACATGTATTGGCTGCTGCTTTTCTAACTAAATTAAGAGAAAATCCGCAAAGTGGCACAAACTCTGACAATGGATTTCTTTCTTTGATAAGGGTTGGCATTCCTCTGTATTTTCCGCTCGTATTTGCAGTATAAAATTCCCAAACACACTCAAACTTGTGAGGATTTGTTGGCCTAGAGTTTGAGTATAATGTCTCAAGTTTCTGTTCAGGGGGACAAAATGACCTGGGTTAGTCATTCTGCTGCCAGAGTTGTTTGAAAAAAAATATATTTCGGCCCTTTTTTAAGTGTTAAGCATGTATAATTTCTTTTTACATATCTTCTTGTTAATTTGTAGATGTCGTCCACAGCATCGGCGTTTGTGTTACTGGGCATGGTGGGTGTGGTGTGGGGCGGCTTCCCCGTTGTGACCCCCACTGTGGGTCAGGTCTGGCCTCTCCCGCAGATGACTGTTTCCAAGGACACCTACATGGTCGTCAGACCTGATACCTTCAAGTGAGTCTCGGCTAACCTAACACACAAATTGATGATGAACCTAGCCAATATATCCGTCCAGGACGAACCAAAAGGTCCAGTTTGATTTACAATACTTATATTAGATGTGATATGTTTAGTTACGGTATTGTGTAATTTGTGAGTTAACTAAATTATTCCAGTCACGGTTACTAACTTGTGAGATAGTTGTGAGTTCTTTCAGACACGGTAATCATTGTAAGTCAGACAGCCAGATGTTCACAGCTGAGTGATGAAGGGCATATTAAGTGTGTTTCAGTCACATATTAGAGCTGGTGAAGTCAGAACCATGTTTAGTTTCACACAACATTGTTTCTCTGAGAAGATATGTTATGTAAGAGAAAGTTGGTGGAAGTTAATGCTACTAACAGTAAACTAAAGGTAGTGAGGAGGAGGATGAGATTAGATTTTGCCACCGAAGTGGCTAGTTTATTGTGCACCCCATATCCATCCTGTGGACGGTAGCGCAAGAGCACATGGATACACAAAAGGCCTAGGAACTAGGCCCCAAAGGGTTAACAGGTGTACATATAGGTTTATAACTACATATCTACAGTTCACTTATCTGTTACAACAAATTTAGGAAATTTGCTTAGTATATCTGGTATCTTATTTTCATTAATAAGATATCTTGACATGTCACATATGTTATTATACTGTCTATCTCTGTATTCCTCAATAAGTGGACAATTAAGCACATAGTGTTCAAGAGATTGACCATATGCCTGATCACATAATTTACATTTAGTTTGATCATCATCTGTGTGTCTCCCAAACTGCCAGAAGTACTTGTAACCAAGCCTAAGCCTGGCCACTACAACATCAGTCAGTACTTGTAACCAAGCCTAAGCCTGGCCACTACAACATCAGTCAGTCTGTTCACATTGCAAGTTGCTCCATAAACATACTTATCTATGTTCATGTTTTCATAGTGGGTTATAGATCTACTCAGGCTTCTAACTGCATTCCTATAACAATCATTTTCATTATTTACTTCTCTCCTAATATTATTTCTAATGCTAGACACAGTTATACCAAAGTTATATTCTACATTCTCCTTCTCGATACTCTTCTTGGCTAACATATCAACTTTATCATGAAGGAGTAATCCAATGTGTGATGTGATCCATAGCAATTGTACATTAATCCCTTTGTCTCCGATTTTTGAGTACCTGTACCCGGCTTCTCAAATGAGCATGCAGTTGGAGTCATTATATGAGTCAAGAGCCTTCAATGATGACAGAATCAGTAATGATGACAAAGTCAAGCTCAGTGTCATAAGTTAGCTTTAGAGCCATCAGGATTGCAAACAATTCAGTTTGCAGCGTAGAAGCCCAGTTGTTAATTCTTATGCCTAACTCAACAAATTTATTATCGTTTTTAACAAGGAAGGTGGCAACAAGAGCAGATGCAACCCTGCCAGAAGACTCCTGTTTAGATCCATCAGTGTATATAACTTGTGATAACTTATTACTACCAGCTAGGTGAGAAATTTCTTCTTGAGCAGTTGCTCTAACAAGAGATTTAAGGAAGGGATTACTAGCAATGAGCTTCTTGGGAGGGACTTGTAGGTATGTGATATTAAATGAACACATCTTCCACGGAGGGGTGAAATGCTCTTGTTGTCTACAGTGATACAGTTCATGCAGGTTATAAAACTTAATGCAGTTGCACGTTTTCACAATCCAAGCAGCGGACTGTTAGTCCAGTCAACTTAGCAGGAAAATAACAGCCTAGAATTAATTGTAAATTAATTATTTTCTGTTACATTGATGAATATTAAGAATTATTATATCTAAAATGGAGACACAAGGAGTGGGTGTAACACAGTAAGAAAAGTAACTATAACTACATTTACACTCCCTCATAATTTTTTAATGAATTTTAGTGTTAAGTCTTGTGAAGCCCACTCAAAAATAAACTGGCTCACTCAGAATTTAATTGTTTTATGTGTTCTTTTAAAATAGTCGCAGCAAGAAATAGATTACTGTGTGTGTATGGGAAGATATTCATGCTTCCCAGTATGTATGTGGTGGTGTACACGAGATAAAGTAAGTGAATTATGAGCATACTAAGCATGGTGCCATATGTTTTGAGCACACGTTAATGTTATCAGAGAACAACAGATAAATTAGCTCGTTATAAAAAACCATGTATCCATAAAAAAAAATTCTTTTCTTTTTTTTTTAAACTACACCAAAACTTTTCAGCTCGTTCTTTGTTGCCCATAAAAGGGCAAGGAGATTTCCATTTCATTTTTATATTGTACATTTATTTACATTCGTTGCGTATGAAAATCAGTTGTACTTCTAGAGCGTTGAAATTTGCTTTTCTGGTTGACGTTGACCATTGACAATATCCATCCACAATTTTGGGGACCCAGAACATTCCATCTGATACGGGATTTTTGATATAAACATGGCACTGTGATATCGTCTGCTGCAGCAGCTGTTCCCAAAATGCAATTGGACAAAAGGCCTTTAGAAACATTCTCACAAAACCCAAAGGTTTAACGCATGTATTCAGTCCTTTATCTGAGGTACCGTTGTATGTTTCTTCTGGGGTGACCTCACATAGTTACTACCCAAAAAATATTTCTGCCTGCACTTGAAATGGTTTTCTCGCAGTGTCATCAAGGAAAAACCCCCTTTCCCCATGCTAACAGGCGAGTCTTTTTAAAGCCCAGACTACATAAAAAATTAAGTTGACTCTCTCCCCAAAGCACTGGCCCTAAGGAACAGATCAAAAGCCTTAAGTCAACATCAACAAAGCAATATAAAGAGATCAGTTTTTTCTCTGATGCGGTTGGGGCACAGATGAAAGCAGTTCCCCCCGTTTTCAGACAGTTAAAAATGCATTACCTTCTGCACAAAGAGCCCTTGCTTCACACACCTTTCACCAATTATTAAAAACCTCAGTTTTGTGGACTCCTCTACCCCACAAATTTTTCACTTGCAGAGTTGCAGTGCATCATATCGAGGGAAAATAACACATTCTTCGTAGTGGCCTACCCATTGTCAAGAAAATTATATGTAACTGTACGTTCTACAACATGTTAACATCGCGCAGACAATGTAAGAGTACATTTCAGCCAGACAGTCGTTTTAGGGGGCCATCATCAAGGGCATTCATTTCTCTTCGATGGGCCCAGACATTTTTGGTCTTACCCGCTGTTTAAATTGCGTCAGCATTGCTGGCTTCCTGGCCTTCAAAGAAGTCCCCCTGACTCAAGGCTGAATTCGCCGCCAACTCACATTTAAATTTTTAAATATTTTGTTGAGGTGATCAGTAACTGCTCTTGCAAACGCTGGGCATAACTATTGGGCCACGTTGATGGGTTATCATTGTTGTAGCAGAAACCTTAATGTCCATAAGTCCAGCGTTTTTAGTTCTCTTTTATTCCGGTCAGATTCTGTCATTTTAGGTATTCAGTAAAAATTTGAGGAAAGTTGTGGTGAGCATCAAATACGTTCATTTACTCGGTGTGCTTCACAAATAACATCTTGATTTCCCTTTTATAATACCAAACCCCGGGATTATTCCCGTGTGGCCCTCGGGGCCCCGACTCACGTTTAAAGCTACATTTTGAACGTCAACTGCCAGGATTGATAACCTCCAGACGACCTAACTTTATATATTCACTCTGGTCTGGAGGACAGATTCACTAGCTCTGGCTGATTACACATACTGGTCTCTCTTGCATGATTTTATGATCCAATGGCAGTGAGTGAACTCACTTTTACTCTTTATTTTATTACGATATTAGAATGGCATATGCCTACATTTCTGCTCTGTTGCACACACACACACACACACACACACACACACACACAGAAACAAAACTCGCTGAGACAATAACAGACACAATCTTCCCAACAGGAAAGATAGAAGGAGTAGAGGGGGAGGAGGGGTTGCACTGCTCATAAAACACCAATGGGGATTTGAGGAAATGGAAGGCATGGACATGATTGGAGAAAGAGACTACATTGTAGGTACAATTCAGTCCGGAGAACATAAAGTAGTCATTGGAGTGATGTATAACCCACCACAGAACTGCAGGAGGCCAAGAGAGGAGTACGAAGAAAACAACAGGGTGATGGAGGACACACTGGCTGAGGTGGCAAGAAGAGCTCACTCGAGCAGAGCAAAGTTACTGGTAATGGGCGATTTCAACCACAGGGAGATCGACTGGGAAAACCTGGAGCCACATGGGGGTCCCGAAACATGGAGAGCCAAGATGATGGATGTGGTACTTGAAAACCTCATGCATCAACATGTCAGGGACACAACCAGAGAGAGAGGGGAGGATGAGCCAGCAAGACTGGATCTTGTGTTCACCCTGAGCAGTTCAGACATTGAGGACATCACTTACGAGAGGCCCCTTGGAGCTAGCGATCATGTGGTTCTGAGTTTTGACTATATAGTAGAGTTACAAGTGAGAAGGTAACAGGAACTGAAGGGGACAGGCCAAACTATAAAAGGGGGGACTACACAGGTATGAGAAACTTCCTGCAGGAGGTTCAGTGGGACAGAGAAATGGTAGGAAAATCAGTAAACGAGATGATGGAATATGTGGCAACAAAGTGCAAGGAGGCAGAGGAAAGTTTTGTTCCCAAGGGAAACAGAAATAATAGGAAGACCAAAACGAGTCCTTGGTTTACCCGAAGGTGTAGGGAGGCAAAAACTAAGTGCAACAGAGAATGGAAAAGGTACAGGAGGCATAGGACCCAGGAAAACAAGGAGATTAGTAGAAGAGCCAGAAACGAGTATGCGCAGATAAGGAGGAGGCCCAGCGACAGTATGAAAACGACATAGCATCGAAAGTCAAATCTGACCCGAAACTGCTGTATAGCCACATTAGGAGGAAGACAACAGTCAAGGACCAGGTGATAAGGCTGAGGAAAGAAGGTGGAGAACTCACAAGAAACGATCAAGAGGTATGTGAGGAGCTCAACACGAGATTTAAGGAAGTATTTACAGTA